CCCGTCATTTTCATTAAAAAGTTAACGGTTATCTGAGTTTGACGTTAACATGCTGACTGAGATATGATAGTCGTTTGAGATTATGAGATCAGATTTTTATCATATCTCAGCCAGTAGATTAACGTACATCTCAGATTGTCGTCAATTTTTTAACGAAAAATAAAGAATTTGGAACATAGACCATTTTGTAACTTTTAATAATTAAGGGATTCAACAAAACAAGTCCTTATAGTTGGAGGACCATTTATTAACTTTGAATAATAAGAGGATTTAATAAAGTAATATCCTATAGTCATGGGACTATTTATGTACTTTACCCTTTTATTTTATAAAGAACATCATAATTAATTAATTATTGCATTTAAATTACCCTCTTTCAAAAAAGCTTTGGTATGGTATTATTTAGAATATGATGATAAATTATTGGGTAAACTAAGTGGTTAGTATCTAAATTATTAGTTTTGATATGTTTTAGTATCTAAACTTTTAATTTTTTTCAAAACCACGTCCTGCCTAACGTTTAGCTTTTGTTTCATTTTAATACACCGCTGTTAAAAACTTAACATGTTTAGCATCTAAACTATTAGTTTTGGCCCGTTTTATTACCTAAATTTTCAAAAAAAAAAAAAATTCAAAACTTAACGTTAAAATTTTAACAGTGATAGTAAAATGAAACAAAAGTTGAACTTTAGGTATAGTTTTAAAAAAATCAAAAGTTTGTGTAGCAAAACATACCATAATTAATAATTTAGATACTAACGTACTTTACTCTAAATTATTTTATAAGATTCTAATTCCTGGAGAACTGTGTATGATATTTATACCAAGCGGGTGTGGGTTGAAATTTAAGATACCATGCCCACATATATTGGTGGTTCTTTTTAAATTTACGTAGTTATTAGGTTGGTCCTCTTTTTCTTTAGTTATGGACCTCACTTTCTGGTTTTAATCAAACCGAATAAATGTGTAGGAGTCCTTACCAAATCTTTTACGTATGATTTTGTTGGCCCACCGAGTCAGTGACAACACGTTACATTATTCACAACCGCATTTGCGTATAATATATACAGAATGATTAACATTTAATTACATGATAGAAAATAATTTAATTTTATATAAATTTAAAAATATTTAGATAAATAAAAATAGATGGTTGAGATCGACTCAATGTTTTTTCAATAAATATCTTCATATTTCTTACTTTTAATTTTAATAATATGTTTTTACTCATCCAACGATCATATATCTATGTAAAACTAAAGATTATTATATCGTGTAAGTATATTATAACCTTATATATATATATACATACACACAAAGAGATTTAGGTCCGTTGAATGAGTGAAAACATATAACTGATATTGACTTCTTGTTTTTTTCCTCAATAAATATCTTCACATTTAGTGTAAAATTTTTAGTTTTACACTTTTTTAGATCGTTTGATGAGGATAAATCAAAGGCTGAGGTTAACTCGTTATTTTTATTCATTGAATATCTTCTCATTTCCTACTATTAATCTCAACATTTGATTTAATCTCATCTGACGATCCTAAAAAAGTTGTAAAACTTTTTAGTTTTACAACATGTAATTGGATTCTAGCCCAATATTTATTTCATAAAAAAATAGGTAAATTATATGTTTAATACTTAAACTATCAGTTTTTGTCTATTATAATATTTAAATTTTTAACTTTTTTTTCAAAACCATACCCAATGTTCAATTTTTGTTTCATTTTAGTACCCTGCCGTTAGAGGCACTAGATTTTTTATGGGTAAATTACATCATTCATCCCTCAACTATCTTCTCACTCTTATTTTGGTATTAAAGTTTAAAAAGTTTCAGTTTAACTACTAAACTTTCAAATTGTTCATATTTTAATCACTCTAATTTATTTTTTTAATAATTTTTATGACATTACACTTTTTATTATTATTTTATTAATATATAATTAAAAAAATAATATTGAAAGTTGAATAATTAAATTAAAAAAATGAACTTTAATGAACAAAATAGGAGTGAGAAGATAGTTGAGTGATGAATGATTCAATTTACTCATAAAAAAAATGTCACGTGCAAATCAACCGTTAAATTTTTAATAGCGATGTACTAAAACGAAATAAAACTAAATATTATGTATGGTTGTGAAAAAATTAAAAATTTACATACTAAAATGTACCAAAACTAATAATTTATGTACTAAATATTTTATCCAAAAATATAACATGATCTAAATATTATTTATTAAAAAATATTTTTCTCGTTTTCTTTTTTGTTTCGTTGTACTTTCTTATGCTGCATAAACAATTTTGTAAAAAGCCTAGAATTTGTTTTTAATTACGTGACATATAAATGATTCAATAAAATAAAAAAAATAAAATAAAATAAATTAAATTATTCTAAAAATATATACGCAATATGTAACACTTCAAATTTTAGGTTAATAGTTTCGGGTTTAATCGAGAGGTCAGTGAATCCCTTGATTTTTATAAATTAAGTCGTTGGATTTAATTGGGTCGGGTTCGGACCCAATTAGTCTTAAAAATGAGATTTTTAATTAGTAAAAAAATGAGGAAAGCTCCCAACTCAAAACGTTAATTTTAGCCCCAATTTAATCAGTATTAATACTATTCATCCCAATATCGATACTCGAACTCTAAAATAAATATTTTAGACTCGAAAACACTAAAAAATTATCCCAGAAGACTTGGTTTGGTTGCTAAACTTAGTATAAAGTTTTAGTAAGTTGTTTGGGGACTGCTGGGTGTGTGTGGTTTACAGAAAAATATATTTTTATTTTTAAATAAATTCTTAAAATTATTATAAAATGACATGTGTCACTTAGTGGTCATTTAATGGTGACTTTTAACGGTAGACACCTTAAAATATAACGTTAAAAACATCATACATATATTTTTAACGAAAAATTCTTTAGATATTAAAATATTTTTCAAAACAAAAATTGGATATTTATTTTTGTATTAATCCATACATATAATGCAGTGATACAAAGGCGGGAAAATAAGGCTGATCATATTCGCTGATGTTTGATTATGAAGTAATGTCAATTACTTAACTAATTAACGTGTGAAAAATTCAATAGCCTGACATGATATTTCCAACTTGTAATTATTATCTTGATTCTTCATTCAATTATGAAATTCAGAGCTCTGGGTGTTTCTGAAATTATCAAATAAAAGAAAATTATAGGGTAAATTATGCATTTAATACTTAAACTATCAATTTTGATCCGTTTTAGTACCTTAATTTTCAGTTGTTTCAAAATCACACCTAAAACTTAGTTTTTGTTTCATTTTAGTACCACTATTTAAATTTTAACATTGAATTTTGAACTTTTTTTTTGAAAGTTTAGGTACTAAAATAGACCAAAATTGATAGTTTAGGTACTAAGCGAGTTAAGTTTTTAACTGTGGGTACTAAAATGAAATAAAAACTAAAATTTAGGTATGTTTTGAAAAAAATGAAAGTTTAGGTATTAAAATGCACCAAAACTGATAGTTTAGGTGGTAAATGCATAGTTTACCCAAAATTATTTATACTAATAAAAAATTGTGTATTAGGTGCATTGTGGAACCGTGTCCAAAGACGGTCCATGTTGTTGCCGTATGCATGGAGAATGGTGTATAACAAAATAAATAATACTCATATTTTGTTTTAATCTAATTTTTTTGAATTTGATTTGATTTTTATGTTTTAATTTTAAAATTTTATTTATTTATTATTACTTATATAAAGTTAGTTAAATATAAAATTATAAATTACAAATAAATAATTTTATTTAAATAAATCTAAAAAGTAATGTATTAAATAACGAAACTATTCAGCTACTAAAAATTTAAAATATAACATTTTCTATTATAGAATTAATTGCATGAGATGTTCTCAAATTATAACTCTCATTTTAAATTGACCCTTAAATTTTTAAATATTCAAATTTCATCCTCAAATTACGACTCATTCTAAATAAGTCCTTAAACTTTTGAACATTTCAATTTAATTCCCAAACTATGACCCTCATTTTAAATTAGTCCCCAAAACTTTTAAATCTTCTAATTTCATCTCTAAATTCACCCAAACATGTATTTAGTTTCAACCATAGTTTAATCCTAAATTTTATTGTTTAAAACATATAATAATTTAACATGGCCTAACGATTTTAATAACAAGAGATATGATTAATATATACGCATAGTTTGGGCAACACATTACATTGGTTAACAATATACCTAATATAGGGATTTTTATAAAATTAATTGAGGGGATCAAAACTAGCTTATTCCACAACAGGGTTAAACAACCGAAATGGAGCTTAGCTTGAGCGAGTGTCCAAATACTTGGAGATAAACGAGAGATAAATATAGGGTAAATTATGTATTTAGTGCTTAAACTATTAGTTTTTGTCTATTTTAGCACCTAAAATTCCATTTTTTTAAAAATCACAACTAACGTTTAGTTTTCATTTTATTTTAGTATCTCGCAGTTAAAAACTTAACGCATTTAGTATTTAAACTATCGGTTTTGGTTCATCTTAGTATCTAAACTTTCAATATTTTCAAAACTTAACGTTAAATTTGAACGGGATACTAAAATGAAACAAAAACTAAAATTTATAATGACGAGGTATTAAAATGAAATAAAAACTAAACTCTATGTATGATTTTGAAAAAATTTATATACTAAAACATAGCAAAATTGATAGTTTAGTTTCTAAAAATAAAATTTACCCGAATAATAATAATAATAATGAAGGAAAAAAGGCAGCAAAAGGCGGTATTGAAAACTGAGAAATGGAGTAAGATTAGAGAGAACGTTTTACGAAGGAAACTGCGAAGCTTTGCCACTTTCTTAGCGCAAATACACTGCATTTGGGTTTTTTTTAACGTGTAATTGTCGCATATACCCAAAACTTGTCTCTCTCTCGTTATCATAAAAGCCAACCTTTTGTATCTATCTTCCATTGTTCTTCCTTCACACTTTGCATTTTCCGTCTCTCTCTCTCTCTCTCTCTCTCTCTCTCTCTCTCTCTCACCCTATTTGATAAGGTTTCCATGTCCTTATAGCTCCGATATATCACATGCATCCGTGTCTTCGAGCTACATACGTTGAAGTCTTAGCTTTCTTCCTTGTTGGGTCTCTCCTTTTTCTTTCCTTGGTGGGTTTTTGGGCGACGAACGGTGCAGATTTCACCTCCCGGGATTTTTTTTGAGCTGTACTCATGTCAAAGCTCTTTCATTTTAGTGGTAAAGTCTTCTTCTTTGCTAGTTTTGTGGCTTAGGATGCTGATCTTTATTATTATTGTGAAACATCGTTGGTGATTTTATTGCTTTGATATATTTCCAATTTTATTCTACAAAGAAGGGATTTTTTCCTTTTGTACTTGGTTGATTAGGTAAAGGTTGAGTTTTGATTCTTGGTTGTGAAATAGCTGATTCGGGTTGATCTAGGAGAAGAGCTCAGTTGGCGTTGGGATTTTCTATTTGTTGATTTTTTTTTCTTTAAAAACCCAAGGTTGTGAAGTAGTTCTAGTAATAGATCAGGCGCCCTTAGAACTAATCCCCTTTTTTCTCTCTTATAAATTGTCTTTGTTGTTTAATTTATAGGAGATTTTGATGTTATAGAGGAGTTGTGGTGGTTTTTTAGCCGAATCTGTTTGTGTTTTATGCTTCTTTCAAGTTGAGAGCATACAAGTGTTTTGGTTTTAGATTCGGATCTGTGGAGGTTTACATGCCTTTCTTTTCAGCTGTAGGTTGCTTTTTCTGAAATATATGGTTCTCTTGGGACTATATCTAAGACGATGAGTTATTAGTTTCGAAGTCCCATTGGGTTCACAGATCTTCTGGGTTTGCCTTATGGGGCTCTGTGTGAACCTTTGGAGTCAAAATTTTGGTCTCTTAGAAATTATTCATAGGTTCCTTTAACATGTTTGATTACTCTGGTAGACTTATCTGTTCTCATCAATTATTTTTCTTGGTTTTCAGGAACTGATGATTTTTGCCCTAGGGGTTCGATCTACCCAAACCCCAAGGAATCTAGTCTCCTTTTGTCCCTTGGACGTCATGTGGATGTTTATTTTCCCTCTCGCAAGAGGTCCCGCGTTAGTGCTCCTTTTGTTTTTTCTGGAGAGAGATTTGAGCAGAAGAAGCCATCAATCGAGCTTCTCCCTGATGAATGCTTATTCGAAATCTTCAGACGGTTACCTGGAGGCAAAGAGAGGAGTGCCTGCGCTTGTGTTTCCAAGCGCTGGCTTACACTTGTTAGCAACATTCGCATAGATGAAATCAGTGACAACAAGACCACTGAAGCCTTGAATATCAAGGGTGTTGATTCCGAGATTGAAGATCAGGATGTTGAGGGCGGTGGATATCTCTCTAGGAGTTTGGAAGGGAAGAAAGCAACAGATGTTAGACTTGCTGCTGTTGCTGTTGGAACTGCTACCCGTGGGGGATTGGGCAAGCTCTTCATTCGAGGAAACAATTCCAGTCGTGGGGTGACCACTGTTGGTCTTAGGGCCATTTCACGTGGATGTCCTTCTCTAAGAGTTCTTTCCTTGTGGAATTTGTCTTCTGTTGGAGATGAAGGTCTGCGTGAGATTGCTGATGGGTGTCACCAGCTACAGAAGTTCGACCTTTGCCACTGTCCTGCCATCACTAATGAGTCTTTGCTAGCCATTGCAAAGGGCTGCCCTGATTTGACTGATCTGACCATTGAAGGTTGTGCAAACATTGGTAATGAAGGTATCCAGGCTATAGCACGATGCTGTCCAAATCTAAAGTCTCTTTCAATCAAAGATTGCCCCCATGTTGGAGATCTAGGAATTGCAAGCCTGTTGACATCAGTTTCATTTTCCCTCACAAAAGTAAAGCTTCAGGCCTTGAACATCAGTGATGTCTCTCTTGCCGTTATTGGACACTATGGCAAGGCAATGACTGACCTTTATCTCGCTGGCCTTCCAAATGTGAGTGAGAAGGGCTTCTGGGTAATGGGTAATGGTCATGGGTTACAAAAATTGAAGTCTTTCACTGTTAAAGCCTGCCTTGGAGTGACAGATCTCGGACTTGAAGCTGTTGGAAAGGGTTGCCCAAATTTGAAGCAGTTCTGCCTCAGCAAATGTGCTCTCTTGTCTGATAATGGGTTGGTGTCTTTTGCCAAATCAGCTGGTTCACTAGAGAGCTTGGAATTGGAGGAGTGCCACAGGGTCACCCATTTTGGGTTTTTTGGTTCCCTTCTGAACTGTGGTCCAAAATTCAAGGCTATTTCTATTGTGAACTGCTTGGGTATTAGGGACCTAAACTTGCGATTGCCTTTATCCCATGGTGAATCACTTCGATCCCTGTCCATCCGTAACTGCCCTGGTTTTGGTGATGCTAACTTGGCTGCATTGGGGAAGTTGTGCCCTCAACTGCAAAATGTGGATTTGTCTGGGCTTCATGGGGTAACAGATGCTGGGTTTCTCTCATTGCTCGAGAGTTGCGAGGCTGGTTTGGTGAAGGTTAATCTCAGTGGTTGTCTCAATTTGAGTGACAAAGCTGTTTGCAAGATGGCTGATTCACATGGGTGGACACTAGAGATGCTTAATATCGATTGTTGTTGTAAGATCAGTGATGTCAGCTTGATTGCAGTTGCAGAGAACTGTCAGTTGATCAGTGAGCTAGATGTCTCCAAGTGCGCAATCACCGACTCGGGAATCACAGCCCTTGCACGTTCTAGTATGATAAATCTGCAGATCCTATCCGTCGCCGGTTGCACTATGATCTCAGACAAAAGCCTGCCATCAATTGCAAAATTGGGTCAGAACCTCTTGGGGTTAAATCTGCAGCAATGCAAGGGGATCAGCAGTGGTGCAATCGACCTGCTTGTGGAACAGCTATGGAGGTGTGATATCCTTTTCTGAACAAATATCGAAGTATGAGATTATCAAAAACTTGGGAAGAAGCTCGAATATAGTCTTTGTGAATAGCCAGAAGTTTTCGTAGTTTTTGGGTCCATCAGCTATGGGCCTTCTGTAGTCCGGAGCTCAGTCGCGCAGTCCCGTTTTCCAGGGAATTCGGCCATTCTCCTTGACTTTTTTTGCAGGTTTCATTTCATCAGAGGCCTGTTACCATGTTTTGCATCCCAATAATGGGTGTTGGTTTCTTCATGGCCGAACTTCCCTGAGAATATATTTGCTGCTGGGTTCTGGATCTTAGGGTATCGTCTCTTAATGTTAAAAGGTTTCTGGCGCATGGATTTTTGCTTAGCTTTGCTCGTTTTTTCTTGGGCTAAGCTTGTCGTACTGTTATGGTCCGGGTCTTACTTGATGGTTGGGTCCTTTTGTTTTCTTCAATGGCGGATCGAAAACCTCGAGTCATCTAGTTTTATGGTTTGCTTTCGGCGGTTCAGAGTAAGTTTGGTGTATAAGCTTTCATGGGCTTTGGCCATGGCAGCCAGTTTATATAGTCTGCCATGACAACTCTTGGAGTTGTTTTTTACTTGTTTTTACCAAGCCCTACTTTTGCTGGTTCCATTTGCTCTGAACTTGTAGTCTGTAACCAATCACAATTCAAATCCGCCATTGGAAGTCATGTATGTTTCTGTTGCCTATAATCAATAAGAACTTTTATGTGTGAAAATTGATTATTGTTCCATGTCAGCTTTCCAATAATTCTGCTGTTTGTGAATGTTCTTAGTGCTGCAAGCATTCTTTTATTCTTTTTGTTTTGAAAAATGTAGTTTTGAACTGATAAAAAACTATATATTTATTTAGATGATGATGGCAATGCAACAAAAGGTGAAAAAATATCTAGTGTTGTTGGAGACAGCATCCAATAAAGTGGAAACACAATATTTCTTTTATCAACTATAATTCAGCATCTCAATTATTCAAAGCTAGACTTGGTGCATTCCAATTAGTCTTTAAATACTCGATTGCATTATCTTCAAATGCTACTACTGTTAGAGATAAATAAATGTAAAATATCTGGTGATTGAGAATAAGGGAAAGCTCCTTTACCTGGGGCCGTATATCGTGCTCTCAATGATTTAATTTTGGATAAATTACGTATTTAATACATAAATTATAAGTTTTAACCTACTAAAACTTTTTTTTAAACTTAATGTTAAATTTTGAATGGGAGTATTAAAATGAAGTAAAAACTGAACTTTAGGTATAGTTTTGAAAAATTGAAAGTTTGATACTAAAGCAGATCCAAAGTTGATAGTTAAGGTACTATGCGCATAATTTACCCTTTTAATTACTGTTAATTTATTTTACCCAACCTGTGGAATAAATGAAAAATCTCAAACATCCTTCAAATAAATAATTGGATTCAATGCATTTGTAACTTGGGAAAAGCCTGGTTCCAAATAGTCTATTACCAAATCATCTCAGAAATTATGTATAATATCCACTTCTTCAATAAGCCGTCCTTAAAAAAAACAGCATAAATGGGACAAGTCGGTAGTAAAGGAGGACTGACATACAATTGGGGGAAACAGGAATGAATGAATGCGAACAAGAAGCCAAGCAGCAACCTTTGCAAAGCTGGCAGAATATTTGTGAAAACATCATAACCCATACTAATATAGAATTTCCATGCCATGATTCATCAAATAAATTCAGTCTTTAGACGCACTCACCCTTGCTTACACAAAACAAGGTCGAGAGCTTTGTATATGAACATCCACTTCAAATCACTGCCAATGCTTGGTGCTTCAGCACAACGGCGCTATTGTACCAATTCCGGCTGCTCTTTGATCACTGCCCCTCGATCAGTTTCGGACCGACTTCCACCTGAATCAGCTCTAGAAATTGCCTCCTGCTGTTGGAGTGTAGATAATTCCTTGTTTTTCACTTAGATGAGGCTGGGGCTATCTTTCCCTCGGTAGTCGCCCTGGATGCAGATTCGGATAGCTGATTGGATGCCTCAGATGTATCTTCCTCATTTGTTGCACCGGACAAACTAGTCTTCTGAGAAGCCAGTTTGGGAAGTGATTTCCGATGCGGCTTTTTTAAATGGACAGGAGAAATTACTTTCGCAGAGGTACTCGGAGATGCTTTCTCATCCAAACTTAGCCGGCCAAATTGAAGGCCACTATTACTGTTGCCATTGGAGTCCAAAGAAGTGCTTTTTCTTCGACCAAGCTTTGGAGATTTAGCTCTTGTTGATGGTATCTGTGCATCAAGGCAATAGAAAATAGATCAATGTAGAGAATATATCTTGAGAAACTCAATGCTGCCATATATCTGTGCACCAGTGCATGTTCAGAATTTCAGCCCTGCCTTACCCTACCCAAAAGAAAAAAAGAATAAAGAACATGATATGAATAAACATGCCATTGTATTAAAATTGAAATACCAAGAAATTTTCTAATGTGAATTTCTATATAGAAATGATCATCTAGTTTTTCATTCATCATAAAATTCAACTAACCTTCTTTAATTCCACATTAGGAGGTGAAGGTTCCTGATAGAAGCTTGGCAATGGAGTTGCTTTAAAGTTCAAACTCTTCCTAAACGTTTTAATCTCAGCTTCGTGAGTTTCCTGGAAGAAAATTGAAGTATTATAATGACAAAAAAGAATGGATCATAAACCATCTGAATCACAAAATAACACCTTGGACTTAGCTTGCAAGTTGCTCTTTTCTTCCTCCCTTGCATGAATATTTTCCTCAAGTTTAGTGTAGAACTGCACAATACAATGTCGAAGAGTTCAGAAAATTTGCTGAAAGAATCAACAATATATCTTGAGAACATAAAGCACCAACCTCTTTCCTTTTCTCAGCCCGTTCGTCACACTTGAAACTGAAACCATAATTTGGAAGAGTACCAACCCTATGAGGTTTGGCATCAGTTGAAGTGGGACTTCTATGAAGCAATTAAGGATGAACATAAACAAGATGAATCGAGATAAAGAAGCCTATAAAATGCAGAGCAAATGAAACTCAAATGTCAACATGTTTCAACCCACAGTCCCAGTCAGAAAGTAATAAAAAATTTCAAACCATAATGGATACGAGGACTCTGAGCCTGTTTCAGATTTAGTAACAGGCCCTTTCTTGAGAGGTTTCAGCTTGGATCTCTCCCTGTAATTCAATAACACAGTTCAAAAATGACGGGAGAAAACTCTGTCATCATCTAGCAATAATGTCTCAGGGGAAAATATACAGATAAAAGGTAACCACTATGAAGTTCCCTATTCAGTTGGTTAACAATTCGCGGACGATTCGCGGACGATCTTATAATTTTCAGCAAAGCAACAATTCGCGATTTGCTGAATGTTAGGAGGGTGCTGTTCATTTTTGAGATTTTGGTGGGACTGAAGCTGAATTTGACAAAAAGCGGAATATTTGGAGTGAATGTTGAGGATGAGGTTCTAGATTCATGGGCTAAGGAGATTGGGTGTTCAATGGGTTCTTTTCCTTCGGAGTATCTTGGGTTACCATTGGGAGCCAAGAGAAATTGCGTTGCCTTGTGGGAGCCTGTTGTGCAGAAATTCTATAGTTCATTGGCTGGTTGGAAGGCAAACTCCCTATCGTTGGCTGGAAGAGCTGTTTTGGTTAAATCTGTTTTGTGTTCTATCCCCATCTACTTCCTATCTATTTTTCGGATACCAACCACGGTTCTCAACAAGTTAAACTCTATTATGGCAGGTTTTTTATGGGGAAGTACGGCAGAAAAGAAGAACATCCATTGGTTGAATTGGAAGTCAGTGTGTAAGCCAAAGAAATTGGGAGGCTTAGGGATCCCGAACTTGCTGCTCTTGAATAGGGCTCTTTTGGGGAAATGGGTTTGGAAATTTGCTTCGGAAAAGAGCTCTTGGTGGAAAAAAGTGGTGTGCAGTGTGAATAATTTGGATACAAATGCTATGATGATTGGGAATAATTGGACAGTTAGAGCTTCTTGGATTTGGAGAGGAGTTATTCAAAATTTCTTTTCTATTGATGATTTTGGGGATTGCCTTAGAAAAAACATGTGTTTGAGAGCTGGAAATGGAGAATTAGTGGAGTTTTGGAATGATACTTGGCTGGGCATTGTTCCTCTGAAGGAACGATTTCCAAGACTTTTTGCTTTATCGAATAACAAAAGGGGTAAAGTAGCAGATTTCAGAGTGAACAGTTTTTCAGGATGGGTGTGGGATATACAAGTGAGAAGAAATTTGGTGGACTGGGAGATTGAGCAATGGTTGCAACTTATTTCATTGCTGAATAGTACCACTCTCCAATTATTGGAGGAAGATTGTTGGATATGGTTAGGTAATGGGGAGGGTTGTTTTTCAGCTAAATCGTGTATTTTAAGGTTTTATGACCAGGAGGGTAATGAGGGTGAGGAGAGTAATTGGGAGAGGCATGTTTGGGCAGGGGTGGCTCCTCCACGGGTAGAAGCTTTCGTTTGGCAAGTTGCACATCAAAGAGTAGCAGTGAAAGAGGAGCTGTCGAAGAGAGGAGTGGCTGGGTTTGAGGATCTCTTATGCCCGATGTGTGGGAAGGGGGAGGAGTCGACTTCACATTTGTTTTTGCATTGTGAGGTGGTTTGGGTTCTGTGGTCTAGATTTTTTAGGGGCTGAAATATTTCTTTTGTGGTTCCTAATAAGGTGATTGACTTCTTAATTTTGTGGGATGAGTTAATGCCGAGCTCTACAATTTGGAAATTCATTCCAAGGGCGGTGTTGTGGTCGGTTTGGAAATGTAGGAATGAGATTATTTTCCACAAAGGGAAAGTGGATTCTGCACTGCTGTTCTTTCTTGCTAGATTCAGAACTGTTTCTTGGTTTGGGGCGAGATTCAAGGATATTAAGATTCCTTTTGATTCTCTAGTTGGGGATTTAAAATTGGCAGACTCGATTAAAAGACAGAATCATAGATGTGTTCCTACTTCTTGGTGGGTACCTCCGCCAGAAGGTTTCATCAAACTTAATGTGGATGGGGCAATGGTTAAGGGATGGGATAAAGGAGGAATTGGCGGTCTGATTAGGGATGATAGAGGTTTGAAACTAGGATCTTTCTCTGAAAAAATTGGAGGAGGTCCTCCTATTCTTGCAGAGTTGCTGGCGATCAAAAGAGGTTTAAGTCTCATTGAAGAGCTGGGATCTTTTCCAACTCAGAGGATTATCTTGGAATCAGACTCGACCACGGCTCTCAAATGGATCAAAAATCCAGAATTATGTACCCCGTTGTTTCAGTCCTTGGTAAGAGGCGTAGCTACTTATGTGGAAGGAAGGGGTATCATCTCAAGACATATTGTGAGAGCTGCTAACTGGGAAGCGGATGAGTTGGCAAAAGCTGGTATAGGATGATTAGTGGTTATGAGTTATAGTTATTAAGCTGGGGTGTTCTATTTTTTAAGGGGCTTGTTTTTTTGCTGCAGTTTGTGTCTATGATTGTTAAGTCTTATGTTATAAGCAGACCATGGTTATGGATTGGTTGTATGTTATGTTCAAGATTAATACAATTCAGAGGCGCTCTTTTCCTCCTTCCTTTGTCCTTCATGTTACTTATGTAACATGTAGGATAGGAAGGGGGGTT